AGAGGTGATGAAGGCCTCTCAATAGAGAGAACCTTAGTACAAGCTGCACATCTTTGGCCCTCAACTGGTTTATCAATCTGCTCTCCTGCTGAATTTGTCACGTTTGGGCGGGCCAGAAGCTGTCCAGTGGGTAGCGGGCGCAGTTGGAAAAAGCCAAGTCTGAGTCAGAGCTTGAGCGGTCAGTGTGCTCGAGAGGATGCTGTGAGACGGGAGGACTCTGCAGGGAGAGAGAGAGAGAGAGAGATAGAGGGAGAGGGAGACGATGTCGCGAGTCTCGCAGGGTTGATGAAGGACACCAGACCAAAATATCACGTTTCGGGACTTGAAAGGCCCCTGCTGAACAAGCCTTGTTGAAGAATGTGATGTGACTCTACAGCGGTGTGAGGTAAACGGCAGACCTGGACAATACTTTAACACAGCTCGTTCTCGCTTCGTCCTCTCAGATGACGACCCACATAGCGTCAAGAGCTTGAGCAAGCATGTCCACCGTGACCCTACTCGGAGCGGCTACATGGCTGACCTTGCTTGTGGTGTTATCTACCGCCCTTACCGTTACTGTGCCTATTTATTTGCTTCGTTTCAATTTCCCCCAGCCGTGCCTATAGACCCCATAGTGATGCCATAGGGCAGGAGCGCAGAGCGCTGCTTTTATACTACAAGATGATGAAAGTTCGTGAGTTAGCGGCCAGCCCAGAATCAAATAAGTTTTCTTGTGTCATAGGTCTTCATATGTCTTCATAAGCAGCATTTCTGATATTTTTAGTGCCCAGCCCCTTTGTGACCTGGGAGCCTCCTGGGCGAGTCCATGGGCGAAGGGCCAAAGCATGGTGTTTACGTGGGAAAGGCCAGAGACGTGACCTGTCCCGGAGATCACGTCGCTCAACTGCAGGTATCATAAGCTTCAGCATGCTTCAGCTGATGATGAAATATACCGCCGGACTGGAAATTAGAATCAGCATTTGGAAAATCGCACCGACCAATCTAGCTCAAACGATGCCTGGAAATCCAGAACACCTGCAGTTGATTAGCCATTTTTTAGGGTTAACAGATAGAATGACTTCCAGTCCGGCCAAAAACGTGCATAATATGCATAGAAACTATCAGTTAGAATGGTGTGTTTGATTTAAACATGGTTGTTGGTATGTGTTGATTGGTGGTTGTATGAGAAGATGACCTATGGCTAAATGAACATATTCAGCTTGAAAAAAGCAGCCATCGGAGAAGACGTGAGTGTGGCTCGAGCCCGGGTCAGTTGGTGAGATTCCAAAAGTCAATCTAGTTTAAGAGAAGCAAAGGTTCTAAGCTGCTTTGGGTGGTCACTATCAGGGTGTTGAACTGGTGCATCAAAAATGCTTTAAGAAATGGAGGAAGAGAGAAAAAGAGGGAGAGAGAGAGAGAGAGAGCCGAAAAAAGAAAGAAAGAAAGACAACAAAGGAGAGCCGCCCCAGCATTTGCTCCGGTAAACAAGCAAGCCATGGACTGTTTGAGCGCTGAGCTGCTCTCACGAGGCCACTCTATGGCCCAAAAAGGGTTGCAAACATTTCAAAAACAATGCTATTTTTAAGAATTCACATTGCCTATGTATCACCTCTTGTTTGAACCCGCTCCTCAACCACATTCTAACTGTTTTTTGCAGGTCCAGCCGGTGCAAATGCCCAAGATCCACCGCCCTTGCCTCCTCCTCTTGGTGAGCCTGCTGATGATAGTGGACCGGAACAAGAGGAGGAGGTCTCAACAGTGAGCACACATCACAAAGAACCCGCATCCGTATCCAGCACCCAGAAACTGCCAAAAGGAATGAAGGAGAACTCAAAGGAGTTACTCGATGATGACAATTGATAACAATCAGATTTTGGTGCTTTGTTCAAAACGATGTATATGTAACTATATAAGGCTGTGCTTTTCTCTCCCGAAACATTTTGGAAGCCCAGTGTAAGGTTTGCGCTCTGCTTGGGAGAATCAGTACGCAAATTTTCTTTCAGTAGCTATGGGGGGCAGTCAGTGGCGCTGGCAGCGGCCTGCAAATATAACGATGTGGTTGCTGATCTTCTGAACCGGTTTGACATGTACCGTGGAAAGGACCTGGTTGCACAAACACGCATTCTAACTTCCAGTCCGGTACTGTATATTGAAGGTTTTTGTGGTTGATGGGCTTTCACTTTGGGAGGATTGTTGAAAGTGATACTGTTCCATTGCGGAGGAATGCGATGAATGGCTGAAAGGCATGGTGATATCGCTCAAAGGATCCCCATTCCCATTTCCACTACGAAATGGGTGGCCTTAAGGCCCATATAAATGGGTTGGAAGGGGTCATTTTGTAAGAAATCAATTTCGAGTACCTGGGCATTTTGTAAGAATGAAACCAGGACTAATTTTGTAAGAAGCCTTTCCAAAAGATAGAAGTCATTTTGTAAGGAAATCAAAGTCAGAGTTAACATTGAAGGGGTTACATCCCCTCATCCTGTAAGAGCTTCGTCAATATCCAACAAGGCATTTTGTAGGAAGGTTATGATGTGAACTTAAATATGTGGCCTGGTTGCACCTGCTCTTTTTGTAGGACGCCTGCAACTGTTTCCCAGAGTCATTTTGTAAGAAGTTAGTGCCTTGTGATGTTTGAATAGATTTGGGATATGATTTGTATATAGCTATTTGGCTGAAAGTCTTCGGATCGAGAGCCCGAATTCCACTGGCAATATTAGCTAACCAATATTTTTGGAAACATTTTAGGCATTTACATATATAACCCATTACAAGCATCCACGTTACCCTAAGTTTACTAATTTCTCCACCAGCAGCTTGGGCCCATGAAATGGTGGAATTGTTTGGGTGAGACACCCCTTCATGTTGTTAACATTTGCAAATACCTTCCCCA